AATAAGTTATGCTAATGAGCTCCTGCAGCTCTTTTTCTACGAAATGACCCCTGTCTATGACACTGTCTAACTATCTCATCCTTTGCCATTCCCTTCTTCTTTTACCTTCAAGGTTTCCCAGCATCAGGGTCTTCTCCAGTGAGTGCTCCCTTCTCATTTGGTGGCCAAGTATTTGAGCTTCAGCTTCAGTATCTGGCCTTCCAGGGAACAGTCAGGGTTGATTTCTTTTAGGATTGTCTGATTTGATCTCCTTGCAGTCCAAGGGACTCTCAAGAGTCTTCTCCAGCACCATAGTTCGAAAGAATCTATTCTTCGCCGCTCGGCCTTCCTTATGGTCCAACTCTCACAGACATACATTACTACTGGGGATACCATTGCTTTGACTTTTGTTGGCAGGGTGATGTCTCTAATTTTTATTATGCTATCTAGGTTTGCCATAGCTTTCCTCCCAAGGAGCAGGCGTCTTTTAATTTCATGGCTGCAGTCACCGTCTCCAGTGATCTTGGATCCCAAGAACATGAATTCTGTCACTGCTTCCAAGACTTCCCCTTCTATTTGCCAAGGAGTGATGGGGCTGGATGCCATGATCTTAGTTTTTTTTTAATGTTGAGTTTTTTTTTAATGTTGAGTTTCAAGCCAACTTTTGCACTCTCCTCTTTAGGTCCTCTTCACTTTCTGCCATTAAAGTGGTATCGTCTGCATATCTGAGGTTGTTGATGTTTTTCCTGGCAATCTTAATTCCAGTTTGTGATTCATCCAGGCCAGCATTTCACATGATGTACTCTGCATGTTAATTAAATAAGCAGGGTGACAATATATATCCTTGTCGTATTCCTTTCCTATGCTAAACCATATTGCACTATAGCAAATTAATTGTGACAAAAGTAATTACATTTTAACAATATTCATTTATGTACAAAATTTATACTTCTCCTTTCTGCCTTCATCAGGGCCACCAAGGCAGCTAACAGATTAAAAAGTATATAATAAAACACATCTTTAAAATCATTAATACCAAACAAAAACATGTAACTAAAACAACTAAAATCAAGTTAAAATACACATGCAATACAATAAAATGTATACACCTAAAAACAACAATTAAAACATAGAATAGGGAAGAGGGATCACTGAGGGAATTCTAGGCAAAATTAAAAAGTCTTTACCAGCTGGCAGAAGATGGCAACAGAAGGGGACAGGTGAGTCTCTCTGGGGAGAGAGTTCCAGAGTTTAGTACCACAACCAAAGCAGGGGCACCCAAAGCATGGCCTCAGATGATGACTGTAGCAGTCAGATAGGCTTGTAAGGGAGTAGGCAGTTCTTCAGGTATGTTGGTCCCAAACCATATAGCGCTTTATAAAGGTCTATGCCAGCACCTTGAATTGGGCCTAGAAACAGATTGGGAGCCAGTGTAGATGGGCCAAGACTGGGGGGATATGATCCCTACAACCCACTCCAGTCAACATTCTTCACCAGTTGATGGTTCTGAACACTTTTCAAGGGCAGTTCTACATAGACTGTGTTGCAGTAATTTAATCTAAATGTTGCCAGGGTATGAACCACAGCGGCCAGATATTTCTATCCAGTAGGGTTGTCAGGTCTGGGTTGGAAAATACCTGGAGACTTTGGGAGTGGAGCAAGGAGAGGGTGCAGTTTTGGGAGGAGCCTCAGCATGGTACAATGCCATACAGTCCACCCTTTAAAGCAGCCATTTTCTCCGGGGAGCTAATCTCTGTCAGCTGGAGATCAGTTCTAAAAGTGGGAGATCCCCAGGCCCCACCTGGAGGTTGGCAACCCTACTGTCCAGAAAAGGCCACAGCTGGCTAGCCAGTCTAAGTTAGTAGAAGGCACTCCTGACCACAGCTGCCTCCAGCTTACCCAAACCACTCCCAAAATACAAACATGTTCCTTCAAGGGGAGTGCAACCCAGAATGTGTGACACAGTAAATTCTAGGTCATATTTTCCCCTTACTGGTAGTGCTTCCATCTTGTTGGGATTAAGCTTCAGTTTATTAGTCTGCATCCATTGTATAACTGCTTCCAGGCACTGGTTTGGGGGGTTTGCAGTCTTCCTCGGATTGGCCAGAACCATGTACTGGTGACAACCCAGCCCAAATCTCTGGATGACCTCACCGAGAGGTTTCATGTAGATGCTGAAAAGCAAAGATGAAGCCTTGTGAGACCTCACCGTCCAAAAGCCAAGGGTCTGAGCAGCAGACTCCCAGTACCAGTAGGACCAAACCCACTACAAAACAGTGCCTCTCAGTCCCTACCTTGGAGGGTTTTTTGGTGCTCCCCAAATGTCCAGTTTTTGTGTTTGAAAAATGGGGGGGGTTGTCCTCAGGGGGGGGGAATCCAGTTTCCCCCCCCTGGTTGTTTCTGTCCCTTTCCTTGGCCTTGCTCATCTCTATTCTGGGGATTAGCTGATCTACAAGTAAATTTGTGATGAATGCTGAATTCATCAAAATCTAAACTTGCATGGCTGAATTCTAAGGAAGATCAAGTGCAGGCCATGAGAGTTAATTCATCATAATTATTATTTTTTGTTATTAGTTCCTTTCCATTGATGTTTTTCTTTTTGTAGTGGATATATCATGACATTCTTTTTGTTAATTTCTTAACTGTTATGTTTTCATATCATGGATAATGTAGACTTACCAATGCTTTCAGACTATGCCCACTGAGATGCTTGCTGGACGCTACTAACCCCCCTCCCTGAATTGTCCTCTATACCTGGAGCCTAGGGAAAAACCTCTTGCCGACATTTTATGTAGTGTTTATTCCTTGTCTGACTGATAAATTATCTTATATGCTATCAGACACCAATCCTTTTATATCTAATAAGATGGCACTTTTTGCTCTGGCAGCAATGAAGATCAGAGAAAATATGGTAATAAAAGATATAAATAATAACAGTTAGATATTAGAGACGTATAAATTTTAAATCGGTACATTTTACATTATGTTTGTACATTTCTGATTTTTTTAAATTTTACATTTTATCAGAAATGGATTGTAAAGGCCTATGGCCATATACAATAAAGTTACTCTACCAATGTAGACTTACCAGGCTGTTTCAACTGACATATATAGAACTGACTTATAATGAATAATGAGTTCTGTTTTGGGAAAGGCAGCCTTTTGGTGGAGTGACGGGGAAGCCAAATCCATTTAGCTGCATGAGATAATGCATGAGGAAGATATCTCGAATGACTGAATTATCCTATTGAGTGGTTCCAGGGTTTGGAACAGCTGGAGCAGAGCAGTTTAGCCTCAAGCACTCTTGCCTACCTCAAACACAGATTTCAGTAGTGGGTTGTTATAAATCTTTCCATGCTCTTTGAAACTCTTTGGTGGTACCGTAGTCATTTCTTTGTGTCTAAATTTAACTTTTGACAGGAGCTTGGTTATTTTCTACTGCAAACAGGGCACACATGTCAAGCTTGTATTTACACAATTGGACCAGAATGAGTTTATAGGTTGGTGCAGCGATGGCACGATGGTTTCCTTGCTCTGCCAGGACAAGGAGGAGGAGCCTGGCGCTCCTGGATTAGCATGAAGAATGACAGCCGGGAAAGACACAGCCTGAAGATGCCAGTTCTCCTGGGATTGTGCGTGAGATCTTTGCTTTCGTGTTGTGCTAGGTAGCTGGGATTATGGCTGCTTTTGATTCTGGCAAAGAACAGTGCAGTGAATTAGATGTACTCATTCAGTCCCTTCTATCTTCAATAGATTGTTTTTCAAACACCATTGGGCTTTAGGGGAAAAGCTTGAAAGCTTTGCCCTAGTTAGCAAGCACTGGTCTGTTTTGATTGTGGTTTTTAAGACATTGAGCTAAGTAGGAATATGATTTATTTTTTGAATTTTGTTCTTGGCAGTTATGCAGTGTGGCTTCATTAGGGGTACAAGATTATAAGCGTTGTCTCCATTTTAATAGCTTCCTGTGTAAAGCTGGCACTATCTGGAGAGACTCCGCAGAAGCTTGGGTGAAACAAGTGAAAGCTAGTCAGCGATTACCAAGGCTGCTGAGGTTCAGAAGAATCCTTCCCGGATTCAGATACATTTGCAAGTCACCCGGGGGAGCTTTGGTGATTTGTGTATATGGAATCATGCTCTAAAAGCATATCTTGATGCTTTAGTATTATTTCTTGTGGTGAGGTGCACTGAGAGCCCTGGAGAGTCAGTACAAGGAGTCAGTTTTATTTAGAGCAGCCACTGTTCAAGGCTTTGTCCTTCCTTGGCTATTGCTAGATATTAATCAGTGGGGAGTAGTTAGTTCACCTGGGAGCCATGCTTATGTCAGCAATTGGCAATTGTCAGCTTAGTGGACCTAAGAAAAATCAGTTTGTTGAAGAAAATGATGCTGAGGATATGCAAGAAACCTTAAAATATCGTTCTTCATTCAGACTATACAGTGTTCAGCTCAGGGTTCAGATAATAAATCAGAGTGGTTGGGAAAAGAGTCTTAGGCTGTGGTCACATGGTCATTTTGATCGGGTTTCACCGCTGTTCCCTCTCGCATTTAAAATTGCTGATCAGACGCCCACACCTGTCTCCTGCACCAAAGTGGGCTCACTCGTGCAATCCTCCTGGTTGCCTAGCGAGTTTTCCAACACCAGGAAAATCAACTACTTTCCGGGTACTTGCGCTTTGAATCTGCAATTTGCCTATCTGGACAGTCATCTCTTGCAATGATTGCGATTAGGTGGTCTGAACGGTCTTCCGGTAGTTGTTTTTTTGTGTGTGTGTGAGTTTTACGACTTGGGCGGCGTGGCTGTCTGGACAGTGCCTGGAGCATTGCTGCGCAAAAAAATCCCCAATCAAATCTACAGTGGGAACAAATCGCGGTACACTTGCCATGTGACCACAGCCTCAAATAAATTAGCTTGATACGATGCAGACTTGTGAAAACTGGTGGAACATTGTCAATGGGCTGTGAATCACAACCCGATTTAAAGTACAAAAATGCCAGCATTTTAATATTTACATATATTCAGGTAATCTCTGTTTCAGTACTGGAAAGTCATTAGGCTGGATTATCAGTTTTTAATGCAACAATAACAAGCAGTTGCTGTCCATTTCATGTATATGCTATGGATGTTTTCCAGTGAACATCAGGTTTTTTTGCAGCAGGATGCCTGTAGTTTGTACAACAGAAAATCTAATTCTTTCTCCACATTGCTAAAATGTGGTTCCTCTAGTGAAGATCAATCCAAAAAGAGACCTCCCATCTTAAAAGACCATAAACAAAAAGAAGAAAAGCCAGGGAGACGCTATAATATGCACAAAACTATTGTATATAACAACACACTTATATAAATGTGAAAAGCATAATAGATATAGATATAATTAGCAAAAGATCAGATATATACAAACTCCATAAAATACAATATAGCAGGTGAATATCAGATTAAATAATCAGGTAAGTTAACAGGTAAGTGTAAGTAACAGGTAAGTTAACAGATAACAAAGGTTCCGGATTCTCTCTTCGCTTTGTAGGTCCCACTTCCTCAGAAGTAAACTTCCTTAACACAATACAAGTCTGTTGTTCTATTCTTCCATTGGGTGATGTAGTATCAAACTTACATATCATAACATCTTATAGTACAGCATTCATTCATTCATTCATAATGTCGGGCACCAATCATAACAGCAAATGTTTCCCAAAGCTAGAGTTAACCTGATATTCACCTGCTATATTGTATTTTATGGATTTTGTATATATCTGATCTTTTGCAAATTATATCTATATCTATTATGCTTTTCACATTTATATAAGTGTGTTGTTATATACAATAGTTTTGTGCATATTATAGCATCTCCCTGGCTTTTCTTTTTGTTCTTCTAGTGAAGGACATTAATTAGGTTACTGAGTGTAGTGATCTGAGTGCAGGCACGGATCTGGGAGACCCATGTTTGAACACTCTCTCTGCCAACGATGCTTGCTGGGTGACCTTGGGCCAGTCACACACTGAGCCTAACCTACCTCAGAAGGTTAATGTTAGGATAGAATCGAGGAGAAGAGAACAACATGAGCTGCTTTGGATCTCCATTGGGGATAAAGGTAGGGTATAAATGAAGTAAATAATTAAATCATTTCTGTGACATTAATGGTAACAAACAGCACAACATCTACATAGCCATTCCTGTGCAAGACTTTTAGTATTGTGATTGCTAATGCTGTTGTTTATTATTGCTTTAAACGACTTAGGCCAGTTTGGTGTAGTGGCTAAGTGCGCGGACTCTGATCTGGGAGAACCGGGTTTGATTCCCCACTCCTCCACTTGCACCTGGCTGGATGACCTTGGGCAAGCCGTAGTTCTGATAAGAGCTGTTCTTGAAAAAGAGCAGTTTCTGTCAGAGTTCTCTCAGCCCCACCTACCTCACAGGGTGTCTGTTGTTGGGAGGGAAAGGAAAAGGAGTTTGTAAGCCACTCTGAGACGCCTTTGGGTAGTGAAGGGCGGGGTATAAATCCAATCTCTTCTTCTTCTTCTTCTTCTAGGCATGGACGTGCTCATCTAGCTTTTAAAGCAGCAGAAAAGAAGGCTACTGTTTTCCCAGTGAAGCCCTAACAGGCCTTCTGGCCTTTATTATATGTAGTCCTTTGAAGGCTGAGGTTTCCCTGCACTAGGGTTGCCACCCTCCCTGTAGCACCTGGAGATATCCTGCTATTACAGATTTATTTATTTATAATTAAATTCCTAACCCGCCCTCCCCGCGGACGGGCTCACAATCAAGGGCACCATCTGCCAAATATAAAACATTAAAAACAGAATAAAACAACTATGTTTAGCAAAAATAAAGTGTTCAGTGATGTTGATCATTCGATCGAATCAACATGGTGACCTGTGGGTGTTACCCAAAAACTCAATTCAGCGGTACCGATCCATCGCGATACTGTGGCTCGATCTTTATAATGGGCCACCCCATTACCTCATTGTTACCATGAAATAGTTGTTGGTGGCTCCTAATTGAAAGCCTGGCAGAAGAGCTCCGTATTACAGGCCCAGCGGAACTGTGAGAGGTCCCGCAGGGCCCTGATCTCCTCCGGGAGCTCGTTCCACCAGGTAGGAGCCGCCACTGAAAAAGCCCTGGCCCTGGTTGCCACAAGCCTGGCCCCCTGGGGCCTGGGATCACTAATCGGTGTTGAGCCCCCGACCGTAGTGTTCTCTGGGGTACGTATGGGGAAAGGCAGTCCCTCAGGTATGTCGGACCCTGGTCATATAGGGCTTTAAAGGTAAGTACCAGCACCTTGAAGTGAATTTGGAATGCTATTGGCAGCCAGTGCAGTGCTTTCAGCACAGGCTGGATGTGCTCCCATCGAGGGAGACGCATCAGGAGCCTGGCCGCAGCATTCTGCACTAACTGCAGCTTCCAAATTTGTGACAAAGGTAACCCCATGAAGAGAGTGTTACAGTAGTCCAATCTCAAGGTGACCGTTGCATGGATCACTGTAGCCAGGTCATTGCGGTCGAGGAAGGGAACCAACTGCCAAATCAGCCGAAGGTGGTAAAAGGCCGAGCTGGCAGTGGCTGCCACCTGGGCCTCCATAGTTAAGGAGGAATCCAGGAGCACTCCCAGACTCCTAACCTCCGACGCTGGCACCAAAGGCACCCCATCGAAGGTTGGGAGAGGGATCCCCATCCCCAGACCACCCCAACTCAGGCACAGGACCTCCGTCTTCGCTGGGTTTAGTTTCAGCCAGCTCAGTCGAAGCCAACCAGCCACGGCTTGCAGTGCCCAGTTCAGATCTTCTGGGCTGGAGTCCAACCGGCCACCCAACATCAGATAGAGCTGGGCGCATATAGATGTTAAACAACATCGGGGAGAGCACTGCCCCCTAAGGCACACCGCATTCAAGCGGGTGTCTTCGGGACTGCTGTTCCCCTAGCACCACCCTTTGTCCCTGACCCTGGAGAAAAGAGGCAAGCCATTGAAGGGCAAGCCCCTGTATTCCCGCGTTGGCGAGGCAGTGGGTCAGCAGCTGGTGGTCGACCGTGTCAAACACGGCCAACAGATCTAACAACAACAGTACTGCCACACTGCCTCGATCCAGATGCCTCCGGAGGTCATCAGTAAGGGTGACCAGCTCTGTCTCTGTCCCATGCCCCGGGCAAAAGCCGGACTGGAAGGGGACTAAGGTGGAAGCATAATCCAGGAAACCCTGTAGCTGTATCGCCACCGCCTTCTCAATTAATTTGCCCAAATAGGGCAAATTGGAAACCGGACGATAGTTGGCCAATTTAGCCAGATCCAGTGATGGTTTATTCAGGAGGGGGCGGACCATCACTTCCTTGAGTGCCCCCAGGAATCGCCCCTCAGAGAGGGACTTGTTGACAATCTCCCTTAGGGCACCTCGAAACTCCTCGTGGCCTGCTGGAAGGGCACGGATCAAGGCTGCATGTGGTTGGGCGCACAGATACGAGCAATATGTCAACTTCCTCCAGGCTGAGTGGGCTAAAACAATCCAAACCCAGAATCGAAGACGTGCAGGGGGCCTCGAGTTCACTCACTGTTTCAACTGTGGCGGGGAGATCGTGGTGGAGCGCCAAGACTTTATCCGTGAAATAGCTCGCAAATGCCTCACAGCCAATATCCAATTCCCTAGTGT